ACAGACGTGCTGGTACCTTTTAGTTTGAAAGGAGAGGAAAAGAACCTAACCTAAGTTAGTTTGGTCACATTACAGGACACATGATTTGATATTCTAGCTGGTACACTTGTGTCTTTCAAGCCTTTGGGTTAGCAATTCTAATATTAGTAATAGGTGGAATGAATGAACAAATTCATGGGGGAGAACTCCATAGATCTCCAATTACTTAAAGAGAAAAATCAAGGAAATAGAAAGCTTTCATAGACTATCATCCTTGCAATTACTGCAGACAAGACTCTTCAACAGATACCAAAATTTACACAAGCTCAAAGTATCTCCTCCTAAAATATCTTCAATTACAAAGGGAAAGATATCTTTAGAGTAAAGAAACCCAGCAGACGTAACCCTAACCAGATGATCACAGTTCACATCAGCAATCAGAGAAATAGCATGTGCCAGTATGCTCAATTGAGGAACATCATGTCTGTAGAAGTTTTGCCAAAATATGTATAACTTCAGTCTGTGAAATTGTGAATACATATCAGACAGTCTCTGACTGAGTTACACTTTATAAAGCAATCGGTCAGTACTTTAAAAAATATCAAAGTCGTGAAAATAGAGACTGAGAGACTGCAATGGAGGGGACTGGGGAGACATGACAAGGAAATGCACCGTGGGAGTATGGACTGATTAGAACAGAAGTCAGCCCCACCAAAAACTTGGTGAAACCTAATAAACTCTATCCTTAATAACAGTGTCGATATGAATTTCTTGGTCTTGATTATAAGATGTATAATTTTGTAAGAAAGTCCATTAGGGAACATTGGGTGAAGGGTGGGTATAGCACATAAGGAACACTGAACTATTTTTGCAGTTTTTCTTTAAACCCAAAATTTTTTCAAACAAAAAGTTCATTGAAAGTAGGGAAAAGATCTAAGTGTGGTCAAGCGTACCTCTAATCCCAGCACTTGGGAGGGTAAGGCAGGAGAATGAAGAAATTGAGGATAGCTTACTCTACAGAAAGTGTTCCAGGTCAACCAGAGCTAGATAGTAAGATAGTCTGAATACAGACAAAGCATTTCAAAAAATTGTTTTCCTATGGAAAAACTGATGAGTTACATGTGAGAGCTACAAAGCAGACATTCTCCTGCCTGTATACCTTTGGTGCTGCCTGAATTTCTTATTCTATGTGTTTATTCCTTAGGTAAAAACAAACTTACTCCAATTGCATCTTTTGCCTCGTTTGAAATAACAAGCACCATTCAGACTGTGGTTCTAGTAAAAAGCTTATTCTGAAATGTTTCCTCAACAATATCGATACATCTAACTCTACCTAAGTTCTTTCAAACTTCACTATATTTTCCTCAATGTTAAAGCTTCAGTGGGATAATACCAATCTTTTCTGAAGTCAAGTTCCAAACGGAATCTGTTATCAAAGTACTGAAGCCGAATTCAAGCCCTCTATGTAAAACATTTAGGGGGAAGAGAAGATTTAAAATGACTTACTCGCAATCCACTCTCTGATTTAATATCCATGATAGTCAAAACCGTTTCATAAAGAATAGCATTTCCTACATTTTTACTAGTCTCTGTATTAGTGGCAACCTAGAAAAACAGAAAACAGTGCATAAGTGATAAAACAATGCTTCCAAAAACTATCTAGTGGCAACAGGACAAATTGTAACCAGAGTTGCCAATGAGCAAACAAAAACTGGGCCCCAATAATCACGTTCTACATGCTGCTAGATAAAAATGAGCATTTAGCATAACGTGAGCCATCAACTCACCTGTGCTAATATATCATTCATAGCTTCACTTGAGTCATCATCATTTCGTCCTAAAATTCTTAATAACCGCAAAATTCGTACCTAATGTGCAAAATATGAAAAATGTCAACAAATTATGTCTGGCCCAAACAAATCCCACTTGGTATGAAGTTCAAATAACTTCAATGAATTCTTAGGTCCCATAAGAAGTCAGTCAGACAAAAGAATTCTGAACACTTCCACAACTAATGCCAGACAGCCCACCCTCACTGTTTCATGTCCTCTAGCTGAGTGAAATGGATAACCAAGTGCCTAGGCGCTAAATAATTTTGACATTAGAACTGCTATTAATCTAATACTGAGCAGGGTCCCTATTTTTTATTAATATAATCAAACAATTACCAAATTTGTACCCAACACAAACTTAAAAGGAAATGGTCTCTTCAAATGTATAAAATTCACATGACATTTATCCAAAATGTTTTTCCAATCTTACCTGCAAAAAGGGGTCACTGATACCAGAAACATCATGTTCTGGGGAATATCCGGACATGATGAGGTTCTTTAGAATACGAACTAACTGGGGCACAAGCTGCAGAAAAGAAAGATGCACAAAACACAGTGACTATGCAAGACAACCTCTTCAACAAGCAGACTCTTTGGTTTAGAAAAATGATACAAGAATCTGACTCTAAGAAATTTCTTGCAATACAAATACAGTATTACAAACAATAGAAAATATAACTTAGGAGTACTCAAGTCAAAACCTAAGAAGTAGTATTTTATCTGGATACAAACAATCCATACTTCTTTACTCCAGAGTTATATACACAAAGATTGGACCAAGAGCCTATGCGACCCAAATAAACAGACGCCCGCCCACAGGGTAAGACTGCAGATCTACTATTGTAGAACTTGATGGTCCTAGGTATCAAAAAACTGTTCAGTTTTTCTCCATTCTGAAATTTGCATATAAAATGTTAATCAATAATCTTATTACAATATAGCTTTAAAATATACCACCTCAAATAGAGAAAAAAAAATTCTCTCCTCCAAAGATATGGTTAGTTATAATCCTTTTTCCAACAAACAGGAAATACCAAAACCATCAACATAAACCAAATAGAAAAGATAATGAAGGAAACACACTCTTCACCCTGAGATACCAAGGTCATCAATAATTTCCTCTCCTTACTCTGCTCGTATGATGCAATTCTGACACAATTTGCTCTTAGTAGCAGTTACACACACTACTTTGCAGCCTGTTCTCTTTTCTTACCAATCAGACTACACACACTCCAGGAATTCCCTTGTCTTTCCTTTACTTGGTCCATACAACGGAGGCAATTATTACCGCCAATCTGAACTTACAGATGCTTTAAAATATAAATATAAAATATAATCACTCTTTTAATTTCTGCTATTCAATTACTTCATCTGAAAGCCCTATTACAAAATGTTTGCCAGAATAGGAATTTTTCTAGTCTCAAACTAAAAACTCAGTTTAGTTCTATGAACTCTAACAAGCTAAAAGTAAATCAAAAAAGTGCACAAAGTGAACTATACTGCATCTTTCTGTAGGCAATCTGAACAGTCCCAACTCTGCTGCAATTCAACTATTTTTCCTCTGTGTGTTTAGCTATTCCCTCCTTATGCTCCAAGCCTAGAGAGGCACTGGAATTATTAAAATGAAAAGTCAAGCTACACCCGAGGCATGCACCCCAAAGCATTCAAAACATTAAGGCCACTTATAAACGCAAAAGAACATAGTATGAATTTAAGGTTAGCCACAATACTTTAGAATTTAGCGACTCATGAAGTCATCAAAACGAAAACTGAATTTGAACAACTCCAAGAATAGGACAAGTCTAAGCTATGGAAATTCTGTAAACTAAATAAAGCCTCATTCAATCTATTAGCTGTGGGAAAGTTGTGAGGTCAGCAGCTCCTCCATGGACTGCATTTTTTTATACTACATAGAACCTAAGTACTTTTAAAATCTGAATTAGTTCTTGGAGAGGTCCTTTTTCCTTGGGCTACTAAATTCAGAAATTGTTGTATTCGTGGCCCAATGGCCATCACATCATATAAGATTACCCTGGGTGATTACACATGTCTAAGTGTGTGGCATACAAGTTCTTAGAACCCAGTTTTATTTTTCAGACAAAAGTGGAAGTTACTAAACTGGTGACAGGACAAACAAAAAAGGATGACAAAGGGAAGCTGCAGCCATGAAAATCAGTTGGCACCTGCCTACTCTGCCTTTAAACCCTTTTAATATTCCAAAACTTCTCAGCAAGATTAAGTACGGGTAAGAGGAAAAGAAAAAGTGTTAAGTCTGCACTGAAAGATCAAAAGTACACATGGAGCTTTTGAAAAGTATAGGGTTTACCCACAGATGGCTCTTAAGTACCTACTTCAAAAAGAAGCTGTGTTTTGCTAAGACAGACCTGGAATTGCCATCACCAATGAGACTGGGCAGCTGCTCAAAGTTTCTCAAGTGAAGATGAAGGCAAAGGCTTATAACTCAGGGAAGGCTGCAACTGAAATCCAAGGCTGACTTTGGAGTCAGGAGTTTAAGTGACAAGACAAAAACTGAACTAGGACATTAGCCAAAGATGCTAGAACAAATAATAAACAGTATTAAGCACAGCTTCAGCATTAGTAGTGTTTTAAAGCCACACTGGTGGATGGATACACACAAGCTACTGAGGACCTAAAGCCAGCATGCACCATCTAAAAGAGGGTTAATTCTTACCTTTTCATTCTAACATACAGCAGGATTCCAAACAGACAACAGGAACAAAACATACAAAGCAAGCATTAGGGACAGATACGGGTCTCATACTATTTTACAGTAATTTAATCAAGACATGAACATCTAAGGGAAGGGGAGCCCCCACACCCCAAATAAAGAACTGCTCTTAGATCTAAAATACAAAATAAGTTCTCTTTGTAGAGTGGTCATCAAAGCTACAAAAGGAATTAATGCATATAACTACATGAAGAGCAATCTTTTAGATCCTTCTGACTGCCTTCTATAAGCAAAAAGAGAAATACAAATGTCCACTTTAAAATGGTATAAAAAAATGAGGAAGTGGTGACTAACAAAGGATAGGACTTATACCATAGAAATCAATGGCCTAAAATGAATACTGGACACAGTAATAGAAGTCAAATTTCACTTTGCCATTTTCACCTTAAAAAAGCAAAAAAAAAGAAAAAATACCTGCCTTTTTAAAAAAATCCTACTTGTAATTTGACCTCGGGCTACATTTCCTGGCTCAATGTGAAAGCAGCAGATAAAACACGTGAGCAGTTTGTGTGTCTGCCAACAAGAAAAGACTCTATTCTGAAAAGGGAAACACTGCACTAGTGCCAGCTCTTATACGCCTAAATCTGGTTTCCAGTCCTACCACACAGCAGGGCTAGTTAAACCCTTTATTCAGCTTCAGAGCTTGCTTTCAAAAGAAAATCATAAATGAGAAAATCATGTACTTTTCAGAAAAATCATTTTTCAATCAAGAAAGGCTTAGGCACAGAGAATGGCACCTACCTTTCTGAAATGCGCAAGCATGTCTGGGCTTCGCTCACACATTTCTGTGAGGAGGACTACAGATGTGTGAAGGACACCTGAAGGAAAAGATCAAAGCAAAGCAAAAGTGAAGCGCTAGTGTTCACCTCCAGAGAACAGGGCTGCAAGTCCCTGAAGGTCAATTCCAAGAGGAGAGTTACTACTTCTGCTCTTTAGTCCCCAAAACCTACACATTGTGGGTATTCAGCAGAAGCCTGTTGACTGAATAGTGACCAAACCAGAATGTGTGTAGCAGGGAAAAAACCCAAATAATTATTTTAAAATGACAAGAATAAGCCTCTCCATCTGAGAACACCTATGCTCGTAGTCAATGTAAACTATATCTCTTCTGCTCTGGTCTTAAGCACTCAATAAGCTATTAACTAGGTTCTGATAGAGAATCCAAAAGATGAAAATCTTAGTATGACTTAAAATTTCCAAATATAATGTATCAAAAGACTATGGGGGTGGGGCAGAAGACCAAGTCCCCTGCAGCCACTTTTGGCCTGGAACTCGAGATGGAGGGCAGCCTGGCCTCAGAGATCCACCTGCCTCTGCCTCCCAAATACTAGGATTAAAGGCATGCACCACCACACCCAGGAAAACATTAAGACAATTATAGATGACAAAGTAAATTTGCTTGTTCCAGAGTCACTGAAAAGCAGCACATCAGACTTTTCACTAAGGAATGAATGAATGACCTACCTAAACCTCATTTGTTCAAGTATGCTTTGAGCATTCTGGGACAGAACCCAAATTAATCAAATTAAATGTAAAGTGCCATTTTTTTTTCCTCTTAACATTTAGACACAAAATTTTTCTTTACTTAGAGCTCATTCCACAGACCTCAAGATAAAAATTAAATGTTTGAGAAAGGAGCAGCCATGTTCCCCGTAATTCCTCTCAAGCTTTCTGTTAGAGGTATCTGAGTACCCACAACAAATTCCTCTTAGAAATCACTAGCAAGGATTTTTGCTAATCTTACACTCCTAGCCCTATGACAGTGAAGAAAAAAAGTTTTATTAGAAAATGGTCAAGAAATCAGGAGGCTTTTACATGAAAATTGAAGATATAATCATTCTTAACACTAAGCATTAACAGCTTAACACAGGAACAGAATTGAAAGATACGTTTTCTATAAAGAAATCAACTGAATCATAAAGCTAGCTCCTGGAAACTTTCCAAGCAGAGTAGATGGGCAACTGCACTGGCTGAGACATGGGCTGGCACAGCCTTGGGCCTTTCTCTTTCCCTCTCTCCCTTGGTACTTCAGGGGTGCACCCAAATCACATTACCATGGTTCTTCTCATTCAATAAATTTTTTGTTGCTGGTAAAAACATCTCCATAAGTTCAGGAACCTTCCTGATGACGTGAACAGCACACAGTGCTGCCTATAAAAAAAAAATTAGAGAACAATAAATTTATTTCAAGTAAGCCAGGGAAACCAATTTTATACAAAAGAATTTCACCAACTAGCTCATCTACATGAAAAATAAAGGCATTAGATAATGGGACCTGTTATTTGTGAACTGGTTGGGGTTTTCCAGTATATACTAATAATTTAATGAAGAGCTTTTAGTTCACCTGTCTCTTTGTTCACACACTGCTAGACAAGTGGGAGGGAAACCCTCTCAACTAGACAATGGTTAACAGGAAGCTTCACAGAAGTTAATCATAAGTGGAGTTCTAAGGAACTAAAAAAAAGACAAGGATTTCCATCTCTCATAATCTTTCCTCTGAGTAAGACAATCAATAGGTCTAACAACATCAGGCCACTGTAAGATACCTACAGAGGCTGTAAGCTGATGTTAGCGTTAAGAGCATCTATCCTGTCCCCAACTGACTCTGCTAATATCAAGACAGTGATTTAGTGGGGCTAGGGAATACAGCTCACCCTTAACTGAGCTCATCCCCAGAAAAAAAGAAGGAAGGAAGGGGCAGAAGGGAGGGAGAATGGGAGGGAGAGACAGAGCCGGAGGGTTGGTTACTGAATATACTAACTAATCTCTACTAAAGAAGAGATCACCTTACTAACTTGCTTACCACACAGAAAGGATGTTAAACACTGGCTTTGGTTATCCCTCAAGGTAACCATACCTATTATTTTAGTCAAATGCATATTAGCTTAGATTAATAAGATTTCCACTAATTCCTCTCCATGTTATAGGAAGGGAGGTTCTAATCTGAAGTACTGTTTTATATTTTTTAATTAATTAATTAATTTTTTATGTGTGGGCGTTTTGCCTGCATGTATATAAATGTACCCGTGTTGAACAATGCCCATGGAAGCCAGAAGAGGGAAATGAATCTCCTACTGGAGTTATGGATGGTTCCTAGCTGTCAAGTGTGTGCTGGTAACCTGGGTCATCTGCAAGAGCAGCTAGTGTTCTTAATCACTGAGCCATCTCTCTAGTCACAAAGGAATGTTTCATTAACGCAACACTGTGCATTCTGAAAAACAGTAGTTCACACAGCATTCAAGAAAAAGTCCTGGATTACAAATTAAGGAATGAATTTAACTCTGTGTGCACTACTGCCAATAATACAGCACCCAAGGAAATGACCTTATTAATATTTCTTTACCTCACACCAATAACAGACAGTAAATGCCAAAGAGATTTTCTGTTTATTTCTTTGATGTACAAAGTCTATATTTTGTTTAGCCAAGTTTTAGATTTGAAGCACAATTTTAAATCTCAGTACAATCTTTTTATCAACAGAGGAAAGCAGGTGAGTTAGGAGAATGAGATCGCAGCACTGCTCTCCCAATCAGGAACAGCGGCTTTAGAAAGGGGGCTCCAGTTCACCCCCAGAGCTCTAGGTCCCGATGTACTGCCCTTCTGGAGATAAAGGCATGTTTTTAGCAACACTGCTCACCAATGCGAAAGCCAGTGAAATCTATCCATTATCATAGTGTTTGAATACATTCAATAATTTACAAAGTACTTAAATGAGCCACTAAGACATGCAGCATGTTTGCTATAAGTTATTTATTTATAAAAAGAGGAATCAAGATTCATATATTTACTAAGGAGAGGGAAATACTTTGGTTTCCTCGAAGCATCCAACAAGAAGCCTTCTTCCTTCTCACTTCTGTCATGCTCCCTAGTCCAAACAGGTATTTGGCTTAATTCAAAGTTACCTTTTTTCTTAAGTAAGAGTTGGAGGTTTTCAGGAGCTTCTCCACCTCTCCTGCGAGATCTCTGCACATCTCTGAGGAGCCCATGCAGCCGAGGGTACAAAGCGCTAGCCCCTGTACAAATTGCGTGCTATGATTAAGATCACTGCAAAAGAAAGAAAGAAGATAGACACAAACAAGCTCAGTATGCTGCTCCCCGAAAAAAAGCCTCACAGACTGGAAAGACTCGAGATGACTCTACTAATAGAAATCATTAGTAGGGGCTGCAGAGATGGCTCTGGGAAAAAAACATTTGCCACGTAAGCTTGAGGACCTGCGAACAAATCCCCAGAACCCACGTAAAACAATTGCAGTACCACGTATCTGTAATCCCAACACCCCCTATGGCCACATGTCACACACACATACACACACGATAAAATAATACTGTATATATTCAATAAAAATTAATTCAAAATTAATAGGATTGATTAGAAAAATGTTTATTCCAACTTTATTTCAAATTATTAACACAGTGAACTGACAAATATTTAAGTCTCCTAGCCAGTGTTTCCAGATTGAAAAGTAACCAAAATTGGACAATACGTCACCTATTAGATGTCAAAGACATCCAATTTAGAAAATTTACCAACCATTCAAAGTACAACAATGGAGCAAAACAATCTCAAAAGATTTTTGTATGATCGAGTACTCCCTACAAGAAAAGGTTAAGCATTGACTATACATGAACCAAAAGCCTTTCTTTAAAAATAAACTAATAAACCAGTGGTACAAGTGCCTTTAATCCCAGCAATAGGGAGGCAGAGACAGGCAGGTCTCTGAGTTACAGATTAAATGGTCTACATAGCAAGTTCCAGGATATCGCTATGTAGTAAGACCCTGTCTCAAAAAATAAAAAATAAAAAAAGAAGAAACCAGAAAACACAATGTGTACTGTTAGTAAAGTAAGATTAATTCAAATACAAAAGAAGTATAAAAGAAGTATAACTACTGACACCTTTGGTCTTATGCTTTAGCATTAACCATGGTAGTAAATTAATTTTTACATTTGAGTTCTATTTACTCAAGAGAAAAATCAGTACTAGGGCTGGAGAGATGGCTCAGCATTTAAGAACACTGACTGTTCTTGCAGAAGACCTGGGTTTGAATCCCAGCACACACATGGCAGCTAACAACGTCCATAACTTCAGTTCCAGGGGATCCAATAGCCTCTTCTGTCCTCTGTGGGCACTGCATGACACGGGTGCACTTACCTACATGCAGGCATAACACTCATACACATAAAATAAAAATAATAAAATATTGGGGTTAGCCGGGCGTGATGGCGCACGCCTTTAGTCCCAGCACTTGAGAGGCAGAGGCAGGCAGATCTCTGTGAGTTCAAGGCTAGCCTGGTCTACATAGCAAATTCCAGGTCAGCTGGGGCTGCAGGGAGACCCTGTCTCAAAAAGCCAAAAAAAAAAAAAAAAAAAAATTGGGGTTAGAGAGATGGCTCAGTGGTTAAGAACACTGACTATTCTTGCAGAGGACCCAGGTTCGATTCCCTGCACCCACATGGGTGCTTAACTCAACCATTCTTAACTCCATTTCAAGGGGAATTCGACGCCCTCTTCTGACCTCCGCGGCATTGCACGACATGGGTGCACTCACATACATGTAGGCAATATACTCATACACATAAAAAAAAAATAAAATATAAAAAAAAAAAATACTTAAAAAAGAAAAATCAGTACCTGTAATTACTATTATGAAAACAAGTAATAAAAGCACCTTTAACATACTAAGCTAGACAGTAACAGGGAAATGTTGATCACTATGGCTTGAGTGTCTTCCAGAGGTTCACAGCTGGAAGCTTGGTGCCAAAGTATCAATATGAGAGGTGGGGACTCTTATAGAGGGGTCCTGTCCTCGGAAGTGACACCACTCTGTAGTAGTAAGCTACCATTTCCCATAAGGTGAGCTGCAGCGATTCCTGACTCCCTGTGTGATCTCCCTTGCCCAAGCGTGTGTTCCTGCCATGTGTGCTGCTGTTCAGCCACCAGGTCCTCCCCAGAGGCAAAGCAGTTTTACAAGTCACCCTATCTTAGACTTTCAGCCTACAAACATGCTAACCATACAAACATTTTTTCTTCACATAGTATAGCCTCAGGAATTTTGTTATAGCAAAACTAAAACATTACTATATAAGAAAGCAGCTTCTTTTTTACAGAAAAGATAGTGTTTAACCATATCTATATCTTATAACCAACTCTCGTTATTCAGAAGTCAATTTATTATATGATTTATGATACTCCTATCAGTTTTCAAGAATTTAACAGCTTTTAGCACCACATGCATGGTTCAAATGGTTTCTGGAAATGCCAAGCCTATTTCAGAGTTCATGTGATCAAACTATTTTCAAAATCCTAACACACTGTCAACTGTGCCGGCATCCACATTCACATAGAAGGCCATGTGAAAAAAGTGCTTATCCATTGGCTCACTGCATGACAGAGGTACGGAAAGAGTAGAGGGAGAAAAGGCATGGCAGCCAGTTCTATTTAAACTAACAGCCAGGAGTGACAGCACACATCTAGAACCCCACCCCTCAGGAGCCTGAGAGCAGCCTGTGGCACAACAATAAAACCTTGTCTCATGAAAAAAAAAGAAAACCAAACTGTTCATCACAAATCAGTAAGAATTACCACTTTCATTAATCTCACAGTCTGTCCACCCCCCCACACACACCCCCTTTTGCAGTACTGGGGATTGAACCCAGGATCCCATACAAGCTAGTAAAGTACTTTGCCTCTCACCTACACAGCCAATCTTAAATCTCATCTCTGTAAGTAAGTGTAGTGATCTCAGCACTGAGGAGACTGATAGAGGAAGATCACAAATTAAAGGCCAGCCTGGGCTACAATGTGAGACCATGTCTCAAAACAAAACAAAAACATGGTGGTATATATGCATGTATACACACGAGTCCAGGTACTACATCAATTCTCCAGGAATTGGACTTACAGGTGGTTGAGAGCTACTATGTGGGTGCTGGGAACTGAACTCAGGTCCTCTGCAAGAGCAGTAAGTACTCTTAACCGCTGAGCCATCTCTCCAGTCCCCAAATCCTCAACTCAAGAGCACATTTTTAAAACATGCTGTGTGACAAAACAGGAAGTACATATAAATTACTTCTGCTGCGCGGGGAAGAACAGCAGTCTCAGAGCAAAGTCCTGGTGCTCCTCACACAGGCAATCTCAGTACTCAGGAGTCTGTCTTTAAAAAAAAAAAATTTTTTAATTAAACTAAAAATAATTTTTAAAAATGATTTCTTATGCCGGGCGTGGTGGCACATGCCTTTAATCCCAGCACTTGGGAGGCACAGGCAGGCAGATCTTTGTGAGTTGTGCTCACCTTTAATCCCAGTACTCAGGAGGTAGAGGCAGGTGAATCTCTGTGAGATCCAGGCCAGCCTGGTCACAGAGAGACCCAAAAAAAAAAAAAAAAAAAAAAAAAAAAGTTCTTAAAAATCTTCCTTTCCAAAAAGAAAACAACCCTTGTGTACTTGTCTCACTAGCAAGAGAAACTATAAAGCAGCTGGCTTTAAATATACGTTGTGTGTTTGTGAACAATAACTCACAACTGTGCTTCTTAAGATCTGGACATTTGGGAGACATTTTCTGGACAAAGAGCCAGGTGAAGCTATTACTTCATGAGGAAGAACTGACTATTTGCTGCCAATGACATAATCAAAGCATTGATGTGAAATAGAGTTCTGGAAGGCTTTTGCTATCACCGTGAACGTGACAGCCTGGCAATAAAGACTGTTCTGATGAAATCATGCATTGCTGACCAGTGAGTCATTTTCAATACTCTATAATGAAATGTGCTAAATCTAAAAGATTCACAGAACTTAGTGAACAAAAATTATTTCCAAATGGCTCTACCATGGTGTTACAAAATTATTCATAAGTAAAAACACCTTACTTAAAGCCAGGTCCAGTAGCGTAACCTTTGATCCCAGCACTTGGGAGGCAGAAGCAGGCGGATCTCTGTGAGTTCAAGGTCAGCCTGGTCTGCATAGTGAGTTCCAGGACAGCTGGGGCTACAAGGAGACTTTGTCTCAAAAAGACCAAAGAGGAAAAAAACAAACAAACAAACATTACTACATTATGGGCCTTATAATACAAATAAATCCACAAAAAACCCACAGATATCAGTTAACAGACTTTTTTAATGTACAAAAACAAACAAATAAGGGGGTAAACGGAATAATGCAAAGCATAGAATGAATGAAGAGCTTGATATGACTAGAAAAGTCTCCCTCCTAAATTCACCTGGGGTTTGGCTGGACCTCATGACAATTAAACACAAGCTAGTCATGGTGGCAACACCTGCAGTCCTAGCACCCAGGATTCTGAAGCAGAATCTTTAGGGCTAGCCATGGCTACATATTTATTTTGAGTCCAATCTGGTCTACATAATGAGACTTTATTTAATAAAAATAAACACAAGATGGGCTAGAGAAACGGCTCAGCAGTTAAGAACGCTGACTGCTCTTGCAGAGGACCTGGGTTCAGCTCCCAGCACCCACATAGTGGCTAACAACCATCCATAACTTCAGTTCCAGGGGATCCAACGCCCTCTTCTGACCTCTGTGGGCACTGCATTACATAGATGCACTTACACACGTGCAAGCAATACACTCATACACATAAAATAAAAATAATAAGCTAGGCGTGGTGCACACTTTTTAGTCCCAGCACTCGGGAGGCAGAGGCAGGCAGATCTCTGTGAGTTTGAGGCCAGCATGGTCTACACAGTTGAGTTCCAGGCCAGCTGGGGCTACAGGGAGACCCTGTCTCAAAAAGATAATAGTAGTAGTAATAACAATAATAATAATAAATTAAAAAACAAAAAACACAAAATGTCTTTATCTGTGCACCTGATTCAACTTTTATCAAGCTGCAAATCTATCTTTATGTTTGGTATTGACTCTCTAACATGAACTTGCTGTCCTGCAGACCTGCCAAGTTACCAGCACATGATTGAAAGTTTTCACAATAAGGGCAGGAGAGTGTGCAAGCCCAAAAGTGAAAACACTCTCTTAGAGGTTTGTCCACAGCAGATGTGTAGGAAGAGAATCACACTAAACATCTCTGATGAGGACTGCTGTGCGTCTGCAATTCCCCATGTTAGTGCTTCCAACCACCCCTGGCATACAGGCAGGTATAGGATAAAGTCAAATAAATCAACCTAGTATTTTGATTAATATCTCATGGACAAAATCCCAAGAATCCTTCCCAAAATTAAGTTCGCAGACTGACTGTACTTAAATGCTACATTTTACAATTACAACCAAATCATAATTGTCATTTTGCAACTTTCTATTACCCACTGGAAAAATTTAAGTGTCTACAATCTGATCATCTGCACCCTAATTCTCACCTCCCACTTCTACTTTCTATCAAATACAGAAATATTACAAACAAAAAAGAAATTTTAAAAGACTAAACTCATAAACTAAAACCAACAGGAACTTTTCGCCATTTAAAACCAGGATTTCCACTTTGTTCATTTTTATTTATTTACCTGTTGACAAGTTCTCATTAAACAGTCCAGACTGGTCTTGAACTTTTAATCCTCGTGTTTTGAGTCCCCCAAGGGATGGGATGACAGGCATGCTCACTGTACCCACCTCATAGAATTCTTGTAAAAGGGATACTGGGAAAATAGCTAATTCTCCATGGCCTCTCATCTCTCCACACAGCAAGGACTTCTAGGTTGTCACACAAAGTAAGCAAACACAACAACTAGTACATCAGGAAGCAGCCATCAGACCTGAAAGTTCACGGGGCTCAGGGTGGTGCTATCCTCAACCCACATCTAATTCTAATACTCCAGAAGAAAGAAGAGCAAGAGTTCCTTCCAAGCTAGACTGAGATACATAGTAAGACCTTGACTCAAAAACCATTTTCAGGGCTGGTGTGATGGCTCAGCAAGTAAACACTTATTTCACATGCCTGACAACCTGACCCAAGGAGGAAGGAAAGACCCAATTCCACAAGGTTGTCCATTGACCACACACACACAATGAGACACATGCCCCATCCCCATACACATCATACACATAGAAACAATAAAATTTTGCTGGGCATGGTGGTGCTCGCCTTTAATCCCAGCACTCAGGGGGAGCAGAGGCAGGCAGATCTCTGTGAGATCCAGGTCAGCCTAGTCTACATAGTGAGTTCCAGGTTAACTGGATCTACAGGGAGACCCTGGATCAAAAAAACAACAAAAAAAATAACAATAAAAATAAAAATTCAATTTTAAAGAAAAACATTTTCACAGGGGTAACCACAATTCCACATTACTAAAATTTCAGTCACTTATTCAAAATATACATCAGTAACTTTTTAAAATATTTTATTTTTATTTTATGTGTATGAGTGCATTGTCTGCATGTAAGTGCACCTGTGTCATGCAATGCTCACAGAGGTCAAAGCGGGCATTGGACACCCTAGAAATGAAGTTATAGGTAGTTGTTGCCATGTGGGTGCTGAGAATCGAACCCAGGTCCTCTGCAAGAGCAGCCAATGCTCTTAACTGCCAAGCTATCTCTCTAGCCCCACATTAGTAATTTTTTAATGCATGTAATGCTTTATTCTTCATGGAATTCAATGTCCTAGAATGTAATATAAGAAAACCTAAATTTACCAATGCTTTCTCTTTTCTATAAATGTCCCAATGTTCTTTCATTGCTAACTTATTCTATTATCCCTAAAGATTGACAGCAACAGTGTTATTTTCCTTTGCTCAGTGTCTTTATAATATAAGCTACAATCAAGAGCCATTCAAATATATTCTGGACAATAAATACAAAGTCAGTAAAAAGATGCTCTAAGAGATCTCGAAAAAAGCAAAATATGTGTGTATGGGGGGTATGAGGTAAGACTTACTTCTTGATACAGTTAGTCATGAGAAGATGGACATCTTGTCTTTCATCTAACAGCAGCATTGCTCCTAAATACCCAATGCGTTTGTCTGTAAATTTTTGTGAGGCAATTAGCTTGAGGCACTCCAACTGCAAGGAAAACAGGGAGGACGGGAGGAAAAAGAAAGAAAAAAACAAATTAGGAGCTTGCTACTGCCACAATCTAGAAAAGCAATGCTGAAATACAATTCACAGAGGACTAGTTCACCCAACTACCTAAATAAGAGAAAGACTCACGACCTAACTCCTTAGATAACCAAGGTGACCTTGAACAATTTCTCCTTCTGCCTCCAACTCGAGATACTCGAGATATTTGGGTATCTTATGGCTAGGTCATACTGTCAAAGTCTCATAGCATTCATCATCCACATAATCTGCATGATTTACCTAGTTCTAGACAGCTTCTACAAATACAAACTAGTTAACACTCAAGACATTAATAAACCAAACTTCTAATTTAATCCCCTGCTCATATTAAATGACCACTGAACTCAAATGTTTAGGATTTGCTTCCTAGGGACTGAAAAGATGGCTCAGCAGTTAAGAGTGCCTGCTGCTCTTGTAGAGGACCTGGGTTTAGTCCCCAGCACCTATGTCAGATGGCTAACAACCACCTAGCTCCAGGAGATCCAACACCCTCTTCTGGCATGAAGGGCACCTTTACACATGTGGTGCACATACAAATAACAAGGAAACACACATACATATAAAATAATAAAAATAAAACTAGCTTGAAGTAGAATTTTTGTTTTATTTGAGGCAATATCTTTAAAGATGATTTGGGGGCTGGAGCGATGGCTGAGCAATTACGATCATTGGGTGCTCTTACAGAGGACCCAATTCAAATCCCAGCACCCACACAGCAGCTAACAACTGTCCCTAACTCCATTCTAGAAGATCCAAAACCCTCTTCTAGCCTCCAAGGGCAATGCAAGACTCAGGTGCACTTACATACATGCATGTAAAACATTCATACACATAAAGTAAAAATAAATCCAAAAAATTTTTTAATGATTTGGTTCCTATTTTGATAATCAAAAAAGCTCAACAACTGGAAATACATGAAAGCACTAAACAGTACCTTAAATATCAGGAATGTACAATTAGCCAAAGAATGAAAAACAAAACTAACTTTAATGTGGGAAGCACTACATTTAGGGCTTAAATCAAGGAGTCATATACAGAAAGGGGAAAAAAAAATCTCCAGAGCCAAACTCCATAGTGAATGTTAAACACTGTAAAACAATGTTTTCTATGTTTTTTTTTCCTCCATATAATTAGTGGCAGTGCACTTCTCTAGCATGTGTGGCCCTGGGTTCCAAAACAATAATAATAACTATTATTAAATAATTCCTCAGGGCTTAGGAATCCTTGTAGCTAAACTTGGCCTTTCTTCAAAGCCACAATTACTTTGAAATTTTAACGTTCAATCCTGACAAGGAAAAGGCCAAACATAACCTCTGGACTAGTAGTGTTCAAATTGTACTCTCCTTTTGAATTGCGCATCTTACAAAAGGGCCTCTCGCAGAAGCCTACATATACAGGAGAGACTACTTTCTATTATGAATTCATCTAATAGGCTGGAAAGTGAAATGAAAGGAGGTAAAACAGTTCCACAATAAAATTGTTTGGGACTCCTTTAGTGACTCTTTCAAGGGACCTGAATTTACAAAAAACACCTGAAGTTAGTTGACTGACTATACTACCACCACCAAGACTCCAAGACCAAGATCAAAAAGGAAAACCAAGTTTCTATAAAAGGGGAGGAGGGAACCTAACTGTTCTATGGGAATGGAAGGCATTAGGCAAGTAACAGCCCTGCCCTTTCTTCTACAAATTCAATATAAATTTTAAAAACAATTTCTTATATTGAAGTCATTTTTTACAATGTATATAGAAAAAATTACTGTTAGTAAATGAGAAAATTAGAAGCTGAAATATTATCAAAGTTCCTTTCCTTTTTCAGGCTGGGTTTGGTAAGGCAATCCCAGCACTCAACAGATAGACACAGTCAACCTCAGCTACTTAACAAGTCTGAGGCAAACCTAGGCTACATAATATGCTGCCTCAAACAAAAAAAAAAATTCTACTTCAAGCTCGTTTTCCAAACATTCCATTTAATAATTCTATGAATAAATATTTTAGTAGTTGAAAGAAAGTGCCCAAGATTCAGATCTCACACACGTTTCTATCACTGTTACTGAATCTTGCTTCTGGCCAACTCCAAGCACCACATAAATAAATTATCCAAAAGCATTTGATCATCCTAGTGAGGAAGACATGCTCTTAAGGCATCATTCATATTTTCAGTGCTGTATCCTAAAAACCACCATTTCCTTCTTTTTTTTTTAAATGTTGCTGAATAATAATAATGATAATTATTATTATTATTATTATTATTATTATTATTATTATTTGTCTTTTTTGAGACAGGGTCTCCCTGTAGCCCCAGCTGTCCTGGAACTCACTATGTAGATCAGGCTGGCCTTGAACTCACAGATATCCTCCTGCCTCCACCTCCCGAGTGCTGGGATTAAAGGCGTGCGCCACCAAGCCCGGCCATTTCCTTCTTTTTAAATAGCTTTACTGCAGCATATTTTGCAAATAATACAGGTTAACCTCATTTGTTTGAGCTACTTTTGTTTTCTGTGAGCTACTTTTTTTTTTTTTAATGGTACTGGGTCTAACCCCTGGGCCTCCTGCAAACCAGACAAGCATTCTACCACTGAGCTATGTTCTTTAGCCCAAAGATAATTCTTTATAAGGGAGGATTCTATATATTTTCCAATATTTTATTTTTGTTTTATGTGTATGAGTGCAATGCCTGCAGAGGTCAGAAGAGGGCATCAGATCCCTTGGAACTGGAGTTAAGAAAGGTTGTTAGCCGCCATGTGGGTGCTGGGAACCAAACCCAGATCCTCTGCAAGAGCAGCCAGTGCTCTTAAATGTTGAGCCATCTCTCCAGTCCTAGATTCTACATGCTGACATAGGTTACTCATCAGAACAGATTAATGAGTAGGCAATGCAAACTTTATTACAATCACATAATGTATCTAAAAGAATGTTTAAAAAGCTGAACCACCAGTGGCCTCCAGAACAACTAGGTTGGGGAAAGGCAAAGACAAATAGGAGTGTTTTTCATAACCCTTTTGTATCTTTCGTATTTAGAATAACTATCGATACCTATTCCAAAGAAAAATAACAGTAGACTAGAAGGGGGAAAAATTGAAGGTATGGCCAGGCATCATGGCACACGCTTTTAATCCCAGCATCAGGAGGCAGAGGCAAGTGGATCTCTGTGAGTTTGAGGCCAGCCTGGTCTACACAGAAAATTCCAGGCTAACCAGGACTACGTAGCAAGACTCAAAAAAAAAGAAAACAAAAAAAGAAAGCAGGAGTTTATGGTTAGAAAAGCTAACATAATTGAGGGAAAAACAGGGAAAATTTGTTTCTCCAAAGTTGAATAACATGTATTTCAAAACTTAACAAAAGCACATTCAAGTTCTAGAATAGTTCTACCAAAAAAAGTCTTACAATTTAACACTAGAATCTTAAGATTCTAGTAATTGAGGGGAAATTAGTCTTTTTGAGATAACTTAGATTCACGAAGAACAATTATGCTATTGTATAATTTCAGCAGGTACTTATAAGAACTTAAGTATGTTTGTCCCTGATCTCTAACCCCAACAACAGCTATGCTTTCTTCTGCTAGAAGTTACTTTGTATTTCATCTACTATCAAATTTTCCTTTACCAACACCACTCTTTCTAACTTCCCCTTTAATTTGCTTTTCCACAGAAGCCTCTACCTCTCCCCCTATCCAATCCCAAAGGACTGATAATGATCTCTTTCCTACTGCCTGATTTTTTAAATATTTACTTCTGTGAGATTGTTTTGAGATGCTATGGTTACCATCAGTCTGCTCTCTAAAGACATTTTGCTCTACTTTAATAAATTCCTGCAGCATACCAAGCAATGTACTGGGCATTTACTGATACACAGTCTAAAGGAAATATGTAACAAAGCCCTATCTACAATTTGAGGGGGGGGGGGGGGGCAGGCTTAAGTCAGTAAAACCAGAGCACCCAATTCTGGTGGAGGAAAAAAAAAAAAATCAGAGAGAGGTTCCTATCTCTCTACAAAACACATACTGAACTAGAGAGAAATCAGTCTGAGTTAGGAGGTGGACCTCCCTGATGGGAGTTTCACCTAGAGGCCTGGACTTCCCCATCACTACTTTTTACATAGTCACTGCAGATGATCTCTAAGTGGTCTCAAAATCTTCCATGGCAGGAGCACTCCAGTAGCTAGAAACAAATCTAAGAGACTGGGAGCATTCAGTCCCTTTTGAAACAAATTTAGTCTTATAAATTGAGTTCCAAACTGGCTGGTGAGAATCACTGGGCAGCTTTAAAAATTACTAGACACTTCTAGGGAATTCTTTATTGGGGGGGGAGGGGCATTGGAGGGCTTTTTGGAGACAGGGTTTCCTATATCCCAAGCTGGCCTCCAACTCCAACTCCCTATGTAGCTCAAAGATGAAATTGTACTCTTGATCATCCTGCCTCCATCTCCCAAGTGATGGGATTACAGGTACAAACCATCATGCCTGGCTACTTGTAGGAAATTCTGACAGAGTAGATTTTTCTTTTTTTTTGGTCTTTTTGAGACAGGGTCTCCCTGTAGCCCCAGCTGGCCTGGAACTCACTATGTAGACCAGGCTGACCTTGAACTCACAGAGATCCGCCTGCCTCCCGAGTGCTGGGACTACAGGAATGCGCCACCACGCCCAGCAAATATTTTATTATTTTTATTTTATGTGTATGAGTGTATTACCTGCATGTATGTGAGTGCACCCGTGTCGTGTAATGCCGCAGAGGTCAGAAGGGGCTTCAGATTCCCCTGGAACTGGAGTTAAGGACAGTTCATAGCCTCTATGTGGGTGCTGGGAATCGAACCTGGGTCCTGTGCAAGAGCAGTCAGTGCACTTAACCACTGAGCCATCTCTCCAGCCCCAGGAAATTCTGACAGAGTGGATTTAAAGTAGGAATTAACAATTCCATTTTTAGGGCTAGAGAGATGGCTCAGTG